GAAGCTAAGCAAAGTAAAGAAGGCAGTGCTAACATACCATGCAAACAGCGAAAGAGAGCGAAAAAAAGATGAATTAAGAAATGAGCGAATGCGTATGCAGAAGTTGATGCAGGAAGATGAGGAAGGCTACAGGTACTTAATTCAAAAAACGGCTTTTTTTTAAACTTTTTCTTGAATATTTTCGTAGACAGAAAAATATTTTAGTGTTGGAAGACAAAGCCAATAATATTAAGGAATTAGTAAAAGTTTTAAAATTTTGTAAAATATAATGGTAAGAAATGTTTCGGTCCATTAAGTCGTATACATTTCTTACCGTTATCACAGTTCATAGATATTAGCATTATTTTAGACTTTTTGGTTGATAGATCACTTTTTATCACTTCATTGGGTACAAAAGTTTTAATGTTTTTGCTTTTTCTAGGCAGTTGCTGGATGAGAAAAAGGACAAACGCCTGGTGTTCCTGCTACAACAAACAGATGAGTATGTGGAAAGTTTGACAGGCCTTGTGAAACAGCACCAAGCAACCGAAAAACGCAGGAAACGTAAGGAGCGCCGCGAACAGAGAGCCAAAGAAAAGTTACAAGGTTTGCTCTGCCCATCTTTCTTCAGCCCAAATCAGTATTTTCGTGCCAGAATGTCTCGTCAGTTGGAGCTTATATTTTGGTTTTTAAGAAGGTAATGAATCGTCTGAGATACGATTGCACATCCGGGACGTTGCTACGGGCGAAATGTTGCCGGAGGAGGAGATGCCAAAGCTTGAGGATGTCGATTCATGGCTTGAAGCACATCCAGGTTATGAGGTAAAAAATTGCTTCTTTGACTCTTAGTATAACGGTACATTCAATGACCTCCCGAAATTTTTGTTGGAGTTGATGGGGATAGTTAGTTTGTGCTGATTTTTTAGTCGCATAATTTAATTTCATGGAAAATGAACACTGATCTTCAATTTATTCATGTATTTGCTGATAAATGAAATCTAGTTGAAAAAGCAGCTGAAAAAATGTAGTTATGCATCTGGAAAAGTAATTTAGTTATGCATATTAAAAGTACCCCTCCCTTTCTTCGCCCCTCACCCCGCTTCCCCTTCTCCCCTTCTGCCCCCTCCCCGTTCCCTTCCCCGCTCCGCCAATTCCCCACCTACTCCCCTTCATCCCCTCTCTTCCGCTGTAATTTACCTTATTTAAGAAGCGGAAGCACTCGGAAGTAACCCGATTGATAGGCATCACTCGCTAGAAAGGTCTTGATGGCTGCTTTTTTTTCAAGCGATGTTTAGAAGCAAACTGAGGGCGATCCCATGTCATGTGCTAGTTTAAATCCCTATTTACTGCTGGAACGAATGTACGATTCACGAAAGTTCGATTTTTAGCACGAGAATTA